TGTGTGTGTGGTGGGTGTGCAGAGGCTATGTGCGTGGGGTGGGTGTGCAGATGCTGTGTGAGGTGGGTGTGCAGTGGATGTGGGGGGGGTGGGTGTGCAGAGGCTGTGTGTGGTGGGTGTGCAGAGGCTGTGTGTGTGGTGGGTGTGCAGAGGCTGTGTGTGAGGTGGGTGTGCAGAGGCTGTGTGTGTGAGGTGGGTGTGCAGAGGCTGTGTGTGTGGTGGGTTTTCAGAGGCTGTGTGTGTGGTGGGTGTGCAGAGGCTGTGTGTGTTTGTGCGTGTGTGGTACGTGTGCAGCAATCACGTCCAGAGTTCCGAGTGGCATGACCAGCTGGTCACTGGGGCAGGCGCGAGCCCTCCTTTCTTACAAACACCCCCAACTTATAACTCATCTACATCCAACCTTCTCTGTCTAAAGGCTGGTGCTCAGGACACCTGGATATGCCCACAAACTACAGGGTCCCCACCTCTGACGCTTCCTGGGATAGATGTTAAATGCAAACAGGCTGCAGTGAAAGTGGAACAGCATCCCTGCCTGTTAGCAAGGGACAGGGACATGACACACAGCCACACGCATCCGAAACAAGGAGGCACGTGCCGGCAGCATAGGTAAGAATGTGCTTCCCCTTCTAGACATCACAAAACGCAGCATTCAGCCCCTTTTATGCAGACCACATTCTCAGACGCCCTTCCAGCACAGAATACGGCATGAGATCGCAGAACAGGACTCAGGACAGAAATTAGGCGAGCAGCACCCTCGTGACAACAGGCAGAGCAGATGTGAAATGGCCAGAGGCCATGAAGGGCAGGTTGTGACTCTCTTCCTTAGCCTTCCTGCACGCTCTGCTATTTCCATAATGTATACTTTATAATCAGAAAAAACACCCAATAAATACTGTTTTATAAAGAAGAAACTGAAGGAAAAAAACAGCCAAACAAGGGGAGTTCCACCCCAGACCTGAACCTGAAACGAGCGTGCAAGGGAGACACAGAGACGCTGGTTTGGAGCTAGTCTCTTGCCTCATTTGGAGACATGAGAGACACAGGTTTGGTTCACCAGCTGTAAGGGCAGAGAGGTCATCACACTCATGGCAAATAGAAGTCGTTGACATTAGTTACTGTATAACATCGGGGAGATGGGTTCCTGTCCATGTGCATCACTCACTCTGACCCCAGCTGCCACCCAGAGTACCCAGAGCCCGCGTGCCAGGTGCGGCCTTGCAGGGTGGCCGTCAGCACGCACCCTCCCCAACTTCGGGTCAAGCAACACGTGTCACTGAACTTGAAAAGCTGCAGATTATCATCGTGCAGCCAGGCACATCTCATGGATTCCAGAGGGACGCGTGACGTGAGCGTGGCAGTGCGTCAGAATTCAAACCACGGGCACCTGTGTGGCCTCCTCTGGCCCCTGCACTGGCCCCGGGGGCTGCCCAGCCAGACAGGCACGGCAGCTCTGC